AAAGCGAAGCACATAAGCAAAATTGAATCTGTGCAGAAATATTTTGTCCGAAGACTGCACATACGGTGCTCGCTTAGCCACGGAACTCTTGTTTTACCGCCTCTCATGTCGTTACTGACTGAGCAGGACATTCGGGCACTCAAACGAATTGTGCTTCTTGAGGACACGGATCACTTCTTTGACATCGTACAAAATTGTTTACGTGGTCAGTGCACGGTCCGAACCAAATCCATTGCCAAGACCGATCACATCAACAACGTGTTCGCTTGGAGAATTTGCTCAAAGATCAATAGAGGACTCATATCGAAAGATCTGCTTTTATCTACCTTTTTCAATAAAGAGCTTTGAATGAATGAATGATGAATGAATGAAACATGTATCCTACCGAGGAGCGACTAACAGAGTCCGACATCCGACCTGCTGATTCCCAGAAGGACGTCCAAGCCCTGCACGGTGATTCCGCCCGACGTCGAGAAAAGTTTCATTCTTGAGCTACATTCGCATTTTCCAGCTCCTCCGTACCGGGATCTGATATCGAATGGGACACAGTGGCCTCCCTAATATCATAAGACCGGCTTGGGATCTTCCCGAGCGTCGAGGTGCACTCTGATGACGAATCTTTCGAATTTCCCACTCTCAAAAAGTCGAGCTCCCTTCTCAAAATACAGATCTCGCATCCCTCATCCGAGATGAGTAATGCGAGCGACCATCCAAGGAAAGATAGATAGGACTAGGGAGGCTGGCGAGCTCTGTCGGAGATGAGGCGGCAGACGTCGAGGAGCATTGAAAACGAAAATCAGAAAAAAAAAATTCACACTCCAAGCGAGTATCTCTACTTGGGGCAACGCTTCTTCATCCGAGAGAGGCCCATTTCCAATCCACAAACTCTCTCAAGTTTTCGTCACGGAGGTGCTGTGGCCGAGATTCCTCCCGCCTCTGACATCAGAAGGGCGGAGTTCTTCCGACCAAGACCGGATCCGACCTGATGCCGTAAAGTCGGATTTCCTACCTCAGGCACCCTGCTGTCATGTCCCGGCTGAAAAGAACTGCGAAAAAATGAATTTGCGTCCCTTAATAAACTCGGACACCCTCGCGGATGCGACGCCCCGGGAATAAAAGGAACTCGACTAGCATCATGAATCGTGGTCTCCGATCATCGTAAGCATCCACGTGAACACAGCTTCCTTGATCTGGTTCATGCTGAAAACTCCCAAATCTGCGTGAACGTTACCGCCTTTCGAGCGGCTAGCTCAAAGATGACGGGCCGGGCCGGATGACCACGTGAGAACGCCCGCCGAAGTCGTGGTAATGGATGTTTGGAGGTTAAGACATCCGTCGCTGTCTAAGAGCGGATGACTTGCAGACACGGGCGAGAATCGGGAC